CGCCGCCGCCGCGGCCCGCGGCTGCAGCTGCAAGGCCGCTCGGCAGGGCGCGGGGGTCGCCGGCCGGCCTTGGTCAGCAGCAGCAGCAGCAGCAGCAGGAGCAGCGCTCTGGGGAGGGGGGCTCGCTTCTTGGGGCACGCTCCGTGGCCGCCCCCTTCAGGGGGGGTCGTGGCCGCCCCCCAGCCCCGGCGCGTTCGGCTCGCTCCAGCGGGGCTCGCCGGGCGGGGCGCGGGCCTGCGCTCAGGGCTCTCTCCCGGGGCGCGCGGGCTCCCGCTCCTCCTCCTGTCCTCGGGCGAGCGCGGACTCTGCCCCGGCGCGGGGCTCAGTCCACCTGCTAAGTGAAGATTTCACCGGAGACAACAAAGAAAGAAGCCGTTCCTTTCTTCCTTAACCAAATTAGGGATGACCAGCAGCCGGCTCGCTCTTTCCCTTGCCCGCTTTCTTTTCTCCTCCTCAGGAACACATTTCACTCGTTTTCCCTTAGAGTAGTAAAACTTTGTTCGTCCTTGAAGGCGTGGTGATGCTGGCTGCTCGCGTGTGCGGAGAGAGGCTGGCTCCTGCTCTCCCCCTCTGGTCCTCTCGTTTCAAGTTTTGTTCTGTCCTAGGAAAACTTCTTGCGATGGTGCATTTCTCTGAAGTTGCTATTGCCGGAGCTCTTGGTTGCCTCTGAAACAAGAGTCCTTTTTCATTCTCCTCGCAACAGTCACAGTCTGATGCGACATCTTTCCTTTTGGGCAGAAATTAGGAAACAAATATAACAAGGAAAAAATTGAACAGGAGAAAAATGAGGTCGAATTGCTCTGTTACCTTGTTGCTGACGGTTGGGGTTGGTGTTTTATTTTTTTCCCAGCAGTAGTCTGGAGGAGGAGGAGGAAGAAGAGTGCATTGGTAGAGGTGCAGGTGTGTGTGTGCATATAGGGGATCCTTGATACACAACCAACTCCAGTGGGCACGTTGTACGGCTCGTAGAGTGCACCGACGGCGCTGGCACTGGCTGTGCCGGAGCGGAGTTGCAGCGGGAGCTCGCTCTGCGCCCTCGTTCGCGCTCTCTCTCCCTCTCTCACTTTCCCTCTCCCTCTCTCTCCCTCTCTCGCCCGCCCGCTCTCGCTCGGATCTGACAGTTCGCTCTCTGTCCCTCCCTCTCTGAGCAGGGACTGTCGAATGTTTACCCTCCGCCGCGAGCGCGCACCCACCACCACACTTTCCCAAATACAAGGAAGTCGAGCACCAGGGCCCCCGCTGATTGGCTACCCGCTGGGTGATTGGCAGGCCCGAAATGACTGGCTCAGGACGCGCGGCCCCCCTTCCGGCCGTTCCGATTGGTTGCTTTTTAATTTAGGCAGAGCGTCGTAGAAGCTGGAAATCTGTCGTCCCCCCTCCCAGCCTCCCTCCCCCTCGCCACTTTCTCGTCCCCGCCCCTCCCCCGCCACCCCCTCCGCCACATCTTAACTCTTAGTGTCCGGCCGAGTCCTTGGCGTTCCCTCCGCCGTTCTGGGCGTTCGCAATAGGTCTGGGAACGGGGAAGAAAGGGGTAGAGAAAAGGGAGGGAGGGGTGGGAGAAAGGGGAGGGGGAGAATCAGAAGGAAAACGAAGAGGGGAAAAAATCATGAAAAATAGCAACCTACCCGCTCCACCTAGTACTGCGTTCTGTTGCCGCCCTCCCGGCCCCCCACCCCCAGCCCAGAGGTTTGTAAAGCGCGCGGCATGGATGCACCATTCACGCTAGTACCTATAGGCAGATGTGTCCCCAGTGGTTTCAAAGTTTCCTTTTTCCTTCACCAGCCGGCCCCCATCTCTCTCTCGGCGGGGGTGGGAAGGGGGAGCTCGCATAGCCAAGAGCTCCGGTCGTGGCCACGCTCCCTGGAAATCCGCCACCGCAACTTTCCGCAGCCGCTTCGCGCCGGCGGAGGCCCCCTTTGTTTAAGTTCTCGGATGCCATCATCTGGGAAACCCGCAGCCCAGGACCAGCGCGGTGCCCGCGCGTGCGAGACGGACCGCTCGCTGCCGCGGCTCGCTCTCTCCCCCACCCCCTCTCTGCCTCGCTCCCTCTCCCTCCCTTCCTCCCTCCCCCTCCTCTGGGATTCTTGCAAGTAGCGTGCGTGCCCTTGTGAGTTTGGAAGGTGCCGGTCAGCGGAGCCAGGCGTTGTATTTGAAAAGCAATCAGCCCGGCCTTTCCCCATAGATATATCGTAAGTGTATTCCGCCCCGATGGCTTTAGGAATCCCCGTTGCAGCAGGAGCCGGCCTCCAGAACCGGGCTCCACCAGCCGCGCCCTCCACCGCTTACATTGTGTGTGCACGTGTGTGTGTGTGTTTCAGTGTGGTTATTAGTGATGTTTTGCTTGCTCGCTATTCTTAGGCACGGTGGTGGTGCTTTTTCTTTCTTTTTTTGTCTCAGATGGGTTTGCGCAGTGGATGGGGCTGGCGGCGACAAACGCTTTCTCAGCCCCAGCCCGGCTGAAAGAGTTAAAGGGGACGGGAGGGGGAATGCGCGGGGTAGGCGGGAGAAGCGGGGGTGGGGGGACGCGGCCAAGCGGAAACGCTGCACAGAGGAACCTCGGCGAACCAAGAAAAAAGAGAAAGTGGCAACGAAAACAAGGGCAAATTGAATCCTCCTCTGGGATTGCCAATGAACTAACCCAACTCGGACATTCAATAAATACGTCGTTCCTAATGAGTGTGCGTGTGCGTGCACCCCGCACCCCTAGCTGCGGGTGCGCCCGCCCCGCTCCCGCCGCCCCCAGCCTGCACCTCCCGCTGGCGGGGTCCCCAGCTCCAGCTTCGCCTGCCGCCGGAGCGGCGGCCCTGGACGTGGAAGGGGAGCCGCCGCTGTGCTCCGATTAAAATGTGAAGGGGGCTGCCCTTTTCTCCCCATGAATAATTCCTCTGCTGAGCGCCGTTAGGTGAACTCGGTTAAAGCTCTCCAGCCCCGCCGCAGCCACGCAGCCTTCGCGTGATCTCAAAATTAACTGTAGACGCGAAGAATTTATGTAGGATCTCGTCCAGCTCCTGCTTGCCGGGTGAGAGATACCATCGTAGGTGGGTTTTAGCAAAGCCATTCTTGCTAAGGTATAGATCTGAAAGGCAGCGGTAACCAAACCCCAAACAGAAAGGATTTTTTCCTCTGCGTCCCCCTAAGGTTCCTTTTTATATTTATGCATACGTATATGTATATATAAAAGATGGAACACAGATTTCATTGAATAAATCTGAGATCTCCAGGTGCAGACGTTTGACTAGTCGGTGCCAGCACCCCGTGTTTTCCTTTCCTGCCGATTTTGCTTGGATCCGGCTCAAAAACCGAGAGAGTCTCGTGGTTTTGTTTACACTGAATGGGGAGGATAGGAACAGAGCCATGGGGCCGCCTTTCATTAATATACAGTGAGGATTTTGTCTAAATTACTGCTATGAATTTCACAGTACACGCTTTCAAAGGCAGTCTCAGGTGGCCTGATGGAACGTGATAGCGCCTCTGCAAACAGATCCACTTTCTTTCTTTTCAAGGAGGATGTGTGTGTGTATGGGAAGCCCCCCAAAACGCTGTGCTCCTCGATAACTGAAATACACTTCTGTTTCGAGGTCTGTCTCCTTCGTCCTCCCCCCTTTCCCCGCACTTAGTTCTCCAGTCGCTCCCCAGCCTCCCCCCCCAGCCCCACCCCATCCGCCCCCTCCCTTTGCGGAGTGTGATTGTTTTGTCTGGAAAAAAAATCCAAAGTATATAACAAGGGGAGAACAGTTAGTGCTGATTTTCATTTGCATACATTTTCATATATTTTGGTGAAAATAATAGACTAGTGGAGAGCTGGGCTTAGAGGAGTCAGTGTAAAAGGAAGACTAGGATGCGTCGGTTCTGGGGAGTTGAGAAAATGCCTTTCCCCCTAGTTACTTTATTTAAAAAAAAATAAAACCTCTTTTTTTATTTTAAAATCTAACCCTGGAAGTTT